TTTAGCTATTTTACATAAAGTTATTACCCTAACTAGGAGTAAAGTATCACCAAAATTCTAAAATAGGAGTACACTTAAATTTATTTCTAAAATAGGAGTTAATCAACATGCCTCCCATTTCCTCTTCCCATTATGCCATGCGCCCCATCCGCTATTTTCTCTCTCTTCCTCATTAAAATCCAACCGCCTCTCTTCAATATTCCTTGTCTTCTACAACCATGTTCTCTCTTCTCCATGGTGAAATTTGATTCCCCCAAACTTTCCGACGAGCAGCAGACTGCCGGCAATAGCGCAGAGGCCAAGTAAGTTTGGATCTTGTTCTTCTTTCTCCTTCTTTGATCTTCTCTTCATTGGGCCTCTAATTCGACAAAGCAACGGACCGTAGGGTCTTTCTTTTTCTTCTCCTTTCTTATTCCTCTTTTCTCCCATTCGATCCTTCCTCCCAATCCCTCCAATTCGTTTTGTACCCTCATTCTTTTTCATAGAATTTCAATTGTATTTTTACAATTGATTTTAATAAATTCATTTTACAAAATTCAGATTAGGTTTTCTTTTTCAATTTGGAATTGCCAATTTCACTATTTCTAATTCAATGGTCAATTCAAAAATAAGATGACTTTTTTTGTATTAACATGTCACTAAATTCGTATGAATCTGTTAATTTCAACACATAGTTTCACTTTTATGACATGAAATCCATTAGGTTGGCAGTATTACTCCACTGCAAATTCAATACTAATAATTTCATGGTGTGTCGATATAAAGTGTTAATTTGACACAATAATGTCATCTATATGACAATAAAGTTCATCACGGTGGCAATATAAAGGGTTAATTTGATACAATAATGCCATCTATATGTCACTAAAGTTTATCTCGATGGCAATAAGAGAGAATTCATATTTATAATGCCATGAAATTGTGAAGATGGCAATACGATCAGCATCCTCTGATTTTGTGCGAATTTCATTAAGAGACATATTTTAGGGCACACTTTCAAGACTTGAGATGGATGGTGGTGGTGCAAAAGCTGGTGCTGAAAAAGCCATAGCTGGGGCGGGAATATGGTATGAGTAGCTGCGGCACAGGATCCAACATCGATGGCCGAAGTTGTGCCGGCGATAGAAATGACGGCGACAACAGGCAGCAAGGGTGGTTGTGGCGGCCATGACGGCGGTCGTGGCAGCGGCTAGCAACCGTGGACAGGGGTGGGAAAATATACCGTAATTTCGGTATACCGGCCATACCATACCGAAAAATACCGATTTTACTGAAAATTTCGGTATACCGAATATTTCGGTACGGTATGATACCGTACCGGATCACTTCGGTATGGTAAAGGTATGCTCTTTTAAAATTTTCGGTATTTCGGTATATACCGAAATACCGTTAATTTTTGGTATGGTTCGGTATATACCGAAATACCGAAAAAAACTTGTAAATTATTAAGGCCCAAACCCAACCCAAAGACATTAAATGAAATAACTAAAACACTAAGGCCCAAACTAAAAAAAAACCATCTTTAACTTACTACCAGTGGATCTCTAAACCTAATCGCATATTGGAGCAATGACGATGGATTTCTAAGCTATGCCTCCGTCTCATCTCTGTTCTAGCCCGAGTTTGAGTCTCCAGCTGGAGACATGAAGCATGGCAGAAGATTCTCCCAAGAAGTCAAGATTCGTGCGCTCATGCCAACTTCTCTTCTCCCAAGTCTGTGCATAACGACGGAAGACTTGGAGCTGTAGCTGCGGATGGCGACGCCATTGACGAAGCACGGAGCTACGGATGACCATCACTGCTGAAGCTTCTCAATCTGGTCTGTGATCAAGCATGCTACAACCGGAACTTTGAATTATTCTGTTTTTGTTTAAATTTATTTTTAATAAGAATTAGAAAAAAGTTCTAAGAATTACTTTCTCCTAGGAATTAGTGACCTCAGTTTTGTGTGTTGATATTTTCTCTTTGGCAGAGCTTTAAACCTTTAATTACTGACCAAGGTTTTGTAGAATGATTTAATACCGGCATACTGGCACATGTTTCAATCTGTATGAGCTTCTTAAGCATATATGCCGATGCTTTATACAGCTCCGAGAAGATCAGTGTTGTGAATTTTCGGTATAAAACGGTATGGGTTACATACCGTACCGAATTTTCAGTATACCGAAATTCGGTATACCGAAAGTTTCGGTATGGTAACGGTATGACTTTTATCAATACCGGATTTTCGGTACGGTATGCGGTATGGGGTTGAAATTTCGGTATACCATACCGAACCAGCCCTGTCCGTGGTGGCCACAACAGCGGTGGTAGCAATTGGTGGCGGCTGCGATAGCAAAGGTTGGCAACGGCAATTTTGGGCGGTGTCGCGCACGAAGAACAGTGTTCTGAAGCTTTGCGTCTGATGCTTTTGAATTAGTACGGAGTAGTTTATTTTATTTTTTCAATAAAGAAATCAAGGTGCCCTTCATTAATGGTACTTATGTCAACTTACAAGTTTTTACTCCTACGTAATTATACAGAGCTTTAGACTCCTATTTGTGCACTTTTGTTATAATTTACTCCTAGTTAGGAAATTAACTCTTTTACATATAATTTTTTCTTTATTTTGTTCAAAAAATATTTTCATTATATTTTGTTTCACAATTCAAATGCATCAGCCATTCCAACTATTCCATCCAGAACTTCTGAAATTTCGGAAGAATCAACCAATTAATATCTTTTTATTTATAAGTTAAAGAAAAAAATATTAAGTTATAGCTGAAATGGTCTAACTAAGCATTCCAGCCCAGCTGGTTGTGAAGTTACTGTGCCTAGTGGAAGGTCTCGAGTTCGAATCCCGCTAGGCACATAAAGAGTTTGAAACTCAATGGGCGCCCTGATTACTCCAAGCTCCCCCAGCCCCCCCCTCCCCCAGACCACCCTAGAGTAAAAAAAATTAGCTAAAATGGTCTTCTACGATAACTTTAGTCAATCCAGTCACAAAAGTAACTTAAATCTTACTTAGGGAGTTTTTGCAGAAAATTAGAAAAAATACTTTTCAGCTTTTGATTTAAAAAAGTTGAAAATGGTGTTTTGAAATGACAGCTTCTATTACACAAAAAGCTGGAAGCAGGTTAAGGGGTGCTTTAAACTGCTTTTTATTTCTATTACACAAAAAATATTTACTTTATCAAACACTATGAACTTTTACTTTTTCAGAAACATTTTTTCTCAAACACTACCAACTTTTACTATTAACCACTTTATCCAAAATCACCTTAAAAAATCATCTATTTAAATTAGTAGAAGGTAAACACTCCCTTATTTTGATTATCACATACTCGTAATTCAATGTTCAAAATTATAAATTTTTACCGATCGACGTGAATAAGCTTGTTAGACCAAAGTCAAGCCGATTAATAAACTAAAGGCTTAACATGAGACTGACATACCAACAGGGCAACAGGTCCAACAGCTCGTTCGTCCGTAACAAAACAATCTTTTCGCTTTCCTTTTTCATCCGTAACAAAAAAAATCTTCTCACTTCTAAATCTTCCCATCATATCCTCAATAATTCTAAAAATAATACACTATTACAACTATTTTTTTGAATTTATCTTACATTTCATCATATTATTTCACTATCTTCTTATCATATCCTCAATAATTCATATCCTCTTTTACTATTCTTAATCTACCAATTTTTGAAATGTGAATATTTTTGAGTTACATAACATTAAACTTACAATCTTACACTAAAGAAAGACAAAATTGAGATTTGATGCATATTGACCAAATTTAGTACTCCGTATTACTAAACGAGGCCTATGTATAAGTTAAGTTTTTGGATTAATGTAATATTACTACAAAGTAATACGATAGTACTCCGTATTTAACATGTGAATAATATTTTTAAATTCAATAAAATAATATTTAACTTAATCATGTTAATTCAAGTTACATTTTCATTGATGCTATTTACATTTCAACCCAATAAAATAATATTTAACTTAATCATGTTAATTCAAGTTACATTTCCATTGATGCCATTTACATTTCAACTTGTTGCGACTTACATTGACAAAACTCCACATTTTACATTTCATACTGGTTTTTGAGATAGATGCCTAGAGATGGCTTCATTTGATGACGTCTAATAGCTATATATTGTGTGAACAATTACATTTACGCATAAATATTTTATTAAATTTAAATATAAAACTAATCTTTTAAATGCATATATCCATCCATATATAATATATGTATTTAATTTAATTACTTTTAAATCAAACATACCCCAATAACAAATAAAGAAAATGGAAATTGATTATTTATAGGAAAGGCCAATATCCACATCCTTACCAACCTCTAACATAAATATACTCATGTTTTCAAAATATAAATAAATGTATACTACTTTTTCACTATCTTATATTGCTAAGAAAATACTGTAAAAAATTTTGAGCACCTCTGATAACCCAATTTTTACTTATCATCCTTAATTAGTCAAATTAAGTGGTTAAAAATAAAACCACTTTTATGAATCACTATATAAGTTTGCTGGAAACAACTATTCTAAGTTCGTATAAATCTTTGACTTTTCATGATTCAATAGTTTAAAGTCAAAATTTGAACAATTCAATTTTAGTGTATTTAATCAATATATTCCTTAAAAAAATCAATATATTACCAAATGGGCTCCAATAATTATAACATCAATTTATCCAAAATAACTTTTAACTTATCTACTCCAAAAGAGTCCTAAAAAGGATAAAGTCTGGTAACTTCAAGAATAAAGTCTAATTTTTTTGACGTTATGTATATACTAATATGTCAACCCGTGAGTTGCACGGATGTAGTGGCGGATAACTATTTTTTTTAATGGAGAAGCAATGGTACATGTAAGAAAAATATTGTTGCATCTACTATGTTTTTGTAATAATTATACCTATCACGGTAAAACTATCAACACAACATTCACACACTCGCACACACAAACTGATAAACTCAAGACATACCTCATATTCAACTTATAATAATAACAAGAAATAATAGCGCTCATAATGTATCCTCTAGTAGTTTCAAAACATAGTACTACATGCATAACCAGTAAGTCATACGGAGTAGTTGGTGAAAGTTGAGAGCTCTTCTCTCCCAAAGTCACCCAACGGTCACATTTGGCTCTTTCACGCCGGAAACCTCCGTCAACCACCACCTACCACCACGTACTCACTGAAACTAGGAAATCTACACTATTACTCCGAACATTTGGTTTTGGTAATATCTTGGGATTTCTAACCTCCATCCACTCCTAAACCGGTGCAGAACTACTATTCAAGTAAGAAGATTTGCTTTTAGCTCAATTTCACCTCGTTGGATGGTTGTCAGATTCTTGATATAAGTTCTGCTACCCTAAGAGAACTCATATCTTGATTTTGAGCTAAATCCGTAGTTGCCGTACAAGAATCACATAGAAGAGATCAAAGTTGCTATTTATAGTTGACTTTTTGCAAAAGGGAGATCCACAACTACCAAAAGCTTGGAGGACAAGTTCAGGGCATGGAGGGGGGTCGCCTTTCCTAGGCACGCCTCTATAACCCCCTTTTCAGTACCGACCAAATTCTTTTCAGTTTAAAGGTACTATTCATCATCCTCTTGGATGGGGAAAATACACCGAGGCTCTAAACTGAAGGGGACACCTACCGAGAAGAAGTCCTCACTGTGAATTCAAGCATTGAGGGCAAAGGAGGCGGGAAATGTTGACTCTAGCTCAAGTACTGCACTTGAGGAGATAAGACAGGAAGGAAACTTGATACTTTATGATATTGGTGTCATAGAAGAGGTGGCAGACACTCCAAATGGAAGTGAAACAAATGAGGCAGAAGCTGTGGAAAACAAGGAGGTAAACACACCTAAGGTTGTACCTATTGTTGATCCTATAGTTACAAATGTTGAGGAAGGAGGGGATGCCCCTATTGTTGAGAAAGAAGGGGCTACCCCTATTGTTGAAGTTGTGACTACAACTGAGAAGGAAGGGGCTGCCCCCATCCTTGATAAAGTCATTGAGCAATCACTTATCAATGAACATGGAAGTGTGAAGGCAAATGTGTGGAAATCCCCTTGGACATCCTTGTTCAAGAACAATAGGGAACCTAGCAAAGGAATGAAGCTCAAGTTCATTGAACCCATGGGGGAGTTTGTAGACCTATCTAATAGGAAGATGGTCTCAATTGTTGACATATGGGGTTTTTGTTTGGTGGGATACTTTGCGGGCAGATTCCCGGGGATGAAACCAATTCATGAACTTGTTGCAAAGTGGGGGATGAAATGCAATGCTAGACAAACATGACAAAGGATGGGTTATTTTCAAGTTCAAAAATGAGGAGGCAAGATCAAAAGTACTCATGGAAGACCCTTACTCACTATTTGCTAAATCTTTATATTTAAAGACCTTATCCGAGGACTTCTCCTTCAATAGTGATGAATTCTTAAAAGTTCCTATATGGCTGAAGTTCCCATATCTCCCTATGCAAGTATGGGAGGAGGATATCATAAGCGAAATTGCCTCACAGGTGGGGACTCCTTTGACTACCGATAGGGTTACACAAGAAAAAGCAAGGTCCAACTTTGCTAGAGTACTCATTGAGGTGGATGCATCCAAAGTTCCTCCTCTTAGAGTAAAGGTCAAGATGCCCAATCAAAAATTCCATAACCAAAAGGTTATCTATGAGACATTTCCAAACTATTGCTTCCATTGTAAAGTATATGGCCATCATGCATTTACATGTAAGGTCATAGCCGATTTGGAGAAATAGGAACGAGAAAAGAACAGGAAAGTTATGGAGGAAGGGGAGACTCAACCTACCTTGGAGGGAGGTAAGCCGGGAGACATGGATGTGGGCACGTCTAATGCCGCAACATTACCAACGGGGGATAAACCTAATGCCATGGCACCACCAAAGAAAGACAAACTTACTGCCGCGGCAATACACAGTGGTGGGCCAACAATCAAATCCAAAACCGCGGCACAAAAGGGGAAGGAAAACATGGAGGTTGAGACATCAAAAGTGATGGACCATCATCCATTCATAAAGAAGGTAAGACTAAACAAGAGAAGGAGGACAAAACAAAAACAATAAAGAGGAGGGTGAACTATCATCTGGATATGAGACAACAGAGGAAGAGGATGGGGATCTGAGGATCATTAGAACGTTCACCGATGTATACAATAATGAAGTCATAGTTACTATGCAAACGGATGAGGTCCTCACACCCACCATTGATGTTAAACACAAAGATGATGTGAAGGAACCTACCATCCGGCTTAACCACCTTCTAAAGGTGGTAGATGAAAAGGAACCCGGGGTATGGTTTACTAAAGCATGCCTTGAGAGTTTACCGGGGGTAAAGAAAACAAAAAATTTCTATGCATATTCGGCCTAATTCATGAGAAATGTATATTGGCACTTTCTTGAAAGATACTATGAGGATGGACATCCTATGGGCAAAGGAAGTAAGGTGATGTATCCAAACTTGATTAAAAAAAAAGGAAACCCGTGTGGTAAATGATACTACCTCCATCCCACTAAGTTTGGGACGGGAGAAGGTGGCACAATTATTAAGAAAAGTAGGTTTGTGTGGTTGATATTAAATTGATAAAGTAAGAATAAAGTTAGAAGGATTTAGAACCACACAATCTTTACGAAATATGGTATGAGACAATCTTAGTGGGACTTCCCGAAAAGGTAAAATGGGACAATCTTAGAGGGACGGAGGGAGTATAAGGGAAGCTTATCTAGATGATGTTATTACCAAAGTGGAGATTGAGAAGGATGGATCCTACAAGCTACACTTGATGCTTTCGGGGCATATTGAAGAGATGATGACAAGACTTGATAGCTACTTACAAGTTGATGACAAAGGAAAGAGAGATGGCATCACTTTCACATCCGTGTGCTTTGATTCTCTTCCGGGAGTTAAACTTACGGATGAAGGGTATGATTTCACTCACTCCTTTATGCGTTATGTTTATTCTATTTTCCTTGATAGGTACAAAGGATGTGATAGCTATCGGGAGTGGATTCAACAAGAAAGGCAAAGAAACAAGAGTGCAAGGAGGAAGGGGGGAAGGATAGACATTCTTAATGTTTATAGCCTCTTGGAATGTAAGGGGGCTGAATCAAGCCCCAAAACAAAATGCTATACTTAACTTTATTAGAGTAAATAAGGTACGCCTTTTATGTCTACTACTACTTTTGATAATTGCATGCAATTTAGACTTCCAAATTGAAAATCTAAGACAAACTTTGAATGTATGGATGGAGGCCGTATGGATATCATTTGGCCGGGATGCCTCCTATGTGGAAGGGGTTATCATGGAAGTGGATAAAGAACACATCCATGCTCGGTTCACATGTAGAGTAACCCAATTTACCTTTTATGTCTCTTTTGTGTATGCATTATATATTGTTTTAGAGAGGAGATGCTTGTGGGAACATATAACTGGCCTTAAATAAATCCTCTTGCTCCTTGGGTAGTTTTGGGGGATTTCAATTGTGTGTGTGATCCTAATGAAAGATTTAAATGAGATGAAACTTAGATCCAACTTAATAGATGCTCCCTCCACCGGAGAATTCTACACATGGAATAGGGGTTCTATTTGGGCAAAGTTGGATAGAGTTTTGATTAATGGTTTTTGGAATACACTTAGTGTTACATGTCAGGCTCACTTCTTTGAAATGGAGCCCGAGTTTGATCATGTGGCCTCACTTATTCGGCTTGGGCAGCACACTAATGTTGGCTCCAAACCTTTCAAGTTTTTTAATATGTGGCTCAAACATGAAGATTTTGGTCATATCTTAGATAGTGTTTGGTGTAGAAATGTTGTTGGAACAGCCAAATTCAAGCTTGCACGTAAGCTCATGTTGTTAAAACAACCTCTCAAACAACTAAACTCAAATGAATTTGGGCACATAACTACTAGGGCAAAGGAATCCAAAAAGGAGTATAAGAGAATCTATCAATTAGCCCTCTTGTCCCCTTTGGATGATGCTCTAAAAGAACAACTTTTCATAGCCAGCGATAAGTGCACAAAATATTTCCACTCTATTGTAAAGAAGAAAAACGCAAAAAATTCAATTGCCTCTCTTAGATTGGAAGATGGAAGTCTTACACAATCTATGGACCAAGTTACAAATGAGTTTGTCAATTTCTTTAAGGGGTTATTTGGGACTGTTGTCCCTCGGTTGGGTATGACCCGGATGTAGTTTTGTCAGGAGTTATCATTGACCAAACAAATGTAGATTCCTTTATTAGTCCAGTTACTGATTTGGAAATGATGAGTGTTTTCTCGCACTTAAAAAGATTGTAATATAGTGGTGTAAGTACGAGTATCGTCTCCACAGGGACGGACAAAAGGGAATCAAGAATTAATTAAATTCAGCGATTAAAAAGAAAACAAAATAAAAGCGTCGTGCGAGATTGGTTGGTTTGGAAAATAAAACTAATGCGAACAATTAAACTAGGGGGTTCTTTCTAATTAATGACGAAGGGAACAGGGATCGATTCCGGGGTTAACCAAATTTCTGGCAGAACAGGCCTAATTACATGAATTTAATTTAATTGAGCCTGGCTAATCATTACTAAGTTCTTACCGCTCTCACGGCGAAGAGTACAATAATTTAGGAGTCCAGGCTGATCTCTCATGCGACAAGATCCTAAATTATTGCCAAAACGAGCGAGCTTACGGCCCCTTAATCGCTACTAATCTCTTAGCGAACGATTAAGTGTGTGTGAATGTGTCCTAGAACAAATTAGATCTCTCTTAATTCATTTTACATGCAATTGTAATTCTAGCTGCAGTCTAGGTTACAAGAGATATCAATTAAATTATTCAAACACAATTTAAACGGCATTCATGCAATTAAACCGAAAAGAATCTAACCATACATCATGATTAACCCCTTCATCAACCCCAAATCCCTAATTAAAACTACTCACAATTCATAATTGAAGAATCAATAGAATTGGAATAAAAAGAATTAATTGTCATTAATTAAAAAGGTGGAACTTACAAAGAATCCCAAAAGATTGATGAACAAGGCTGAAAAGCCCTCTAAAATTCGTGCTAGGCACTCTCTCTAAGCTCCCCCTTGAAAACGGGGGTTTACAGGCTGTTTAAATAGAAAAATCGGGTGAAATTTGAGCTGAATTAGGATTTTCGGAGCCAGGCACGATGCCAGGCCCGATCGTGCCTTCGATCGTGCCTCCGGAGCAAAAACGCGCATTTTGGGCAGGCACGATCGTGCCTCCCTCCAGGCACGATCGTGCCTGGCTGGCAGTAACTCCTCCGTGTTTTCTCTTCACGCACGATCGTGTCTGACTTTGAGGGCACGATCGTGCCTACTTAACTTCCGAATTTGACAAAACTTCCTTCATGAAAGTTGTAGATAATGAAGTCCTCTATCCACCCCAATTTGCCGATTGTGATTTGAATCATCCAATAAAGAGATATGATCAAAACGGTGGAAGGTGTCTTTCTGAAATCGCAGCAGAGATCATCTGACTTCATCGTCTGTTTTCACCTTCTTCCTCTCATATTCTCGCAAAGGTGTCTTCATATGATTTGTATCCCTTGAAGTTGGCTTTCTTATGGAACTTGAATCGTGTACATTGGATGTTTCTACAAAGAGATATGCTTGAACGATTGACAGAAGGTCATCCTGATCGTCGTTTTCAAGCTTCATTCATCTTCTTTTGATCCCGAAGCGAGTCCTAGAGCTCTTTTTCCTTCAAATCTTCATCGTGAATCTTCCGGTGACCTCCAAAGCTATCAAATCATTCTCAAATGCTTCTCAAATCATCCCGATTGTTCCTCAAGTGCCGGTGCCGGGCTCAAATTCCCTGATTTTGACTACAAACAACACAAAACTCGAACCAACGCCCGGTAAACATAACTTGAGCTAAAATTGAGACTTGTAACACCTTAAAACTAGGAAAATCATCAAAAGCCGATCTCAACACGCATCAAATACGTGTCAAAATACGGACTTATCAAATTCCCCCACACTTTAAGCCTTTGCTTGTCCTCAAGCAAACTGAACAACGGGACTTACGATAATCACCACACAGAATTAAAATAATTAGCATGCACAAGTAGTTAAAGGGATATTCACAGAACAGGCAGACTAAACCAAGAAAATTCTTCCCTAAACTACATCTTTGTACTCAAGCTAAACTATTTGACAAATTTATTCACAACATCCTTAAAGTAGTGACAACGTACACAAATAAACTAGCTATTGATCAGAAAGACTTGTGAAAATGGTGGTGAAGGGTGAATGGTAACAATAATAGTCCCTTTGTTTTGAGAGATTGGAATATTCTAACAAAGACTCAATGTATTCAGGAACTTCAGGGTTATTCTTAGAATCAAGGAACTTAGTAGGCCACAATTTAGGAACAATCCTTTAAACCTGTGCAAAGAGTAGACATGGTGTACAACTAAGCTAAACCGTCTCGACACTTTTGTGCTTTGACGTATACTTGAAGTATGCGGAGGACTAAAGCTAATTTTTGAAATAGCCTCCTCCATGTTCATTGATTAAGTTTAGTTTTCCTTGTCATGTTGGCACGAGAACGCCGTTTCTTTCGAAAGATACCCAAGTCTCATCTTACGCTTTTTGACCGGGGCTCCCGTTCTCTTTTTCGCAAAGTAAGAGGTCTAGCTATATTAATTTTTCACCTTTCGGATTCTCACTAGACATTACCCCATTCTAATCTCGGCCTCACCAAGGAAAAATAGCAATTAAAGTTCATTAATTTCAAAGTGAATCCATGCCTACAATGCAATCCTCGAAAGTATCATATTCCTAAAATATGACTGCTCTTACCCCATTCGGGGCATAGGAACAGTGCCAAAATTGGCTCCTACACAAATTCCCTAAACTTAGCAAATTAATCCCTTAGTTCCCTAAACATCAAAACTATGTCAGAAATATTCACGGGTAAGGAAACACAGTCCATTTGGCTATGGAGCTCAATTAATTGGATAAACAATAAACGGTCAGGCTCAAAATGACTTCTCCTAAAGGATTTTTTTCAGGTGGGTGATGATTAATGGAAAATTCAATGAGTGACTAATGCCTTCATCCTTTCAACAACTATATTACCATGCAAGCAATTTAAGCCTAAACACTTCAAGAATGTCATAAAGCATAGTCAAAACGCTAGCCAGCTCACAAAGACACAGTTTAAAGAAAAATTTTCAAAAATTTTGCATGAATTTCCTATGAATATACAACTAACACCTGCGCATGCTAACTCTAATAAATCTCATGTAACAACCACTGCCCGAATGCCCAATTCACTCCCCCACACTTAAACTTTGGCATCGCCCTCGATGACCAAAAATGCACTATGCACATCAAGGGGGGTAAAGGGGAAAGGGTCACGCGTGCTCAACTTAGCTCAAGTCAATTATTACAAAAAGGCGATTAAAAGAGTCGCAGAAACTTCCCTAAGGCGTTAGTCGGTGCAGAACTAAACTGAGTCAATGTAATCCTCGGCACATCATCCCTATAACAAGACCCCTGAGCTGCAACAAAAACACAAAGCAAAACAACCAAACAACAAACAAAGCAAAAGCAAAAACAAAAGCAGAAAAAAAAGCTCGGGTTGCCTCCCGAGAAGCGCTATTTTTAACGTCGTTTGCCCGACACAACTACCCCATAGGCTCTCCAATAGCAAAGACTGTAGTGGTGCACTTATAGTCAACGTCTCCAGCTTCCTCTCAACAAATGTCATTAGGTGGCGCAGATCTTTAAATTCGTCAGCCCACGAAGGCAGCACATGGTCTTCATAACCCTCATCAGCACAGAAGTGAAGTATGAAACTCTCATCTTCTTCAGGTGGACAGAAAACATGAGTGAAAACTTTGATTACTCTAGGTATCACTGGAATCTCAAAAGATGTCTCAAAGCAAGGAGTAGGAGCAACACCGTAATCAAATTGCACCATAGAAAAGTCCTCTTCTTCCTCACAGATATCATGAACATTCACAACCTCTCCTCCGGACTCTGTATCACTCTCCATGAAGGCATCCCAACTCTCATTAACATCGTTCTTATCAATAACTTCCCGGATGATGTTGTCATTCTCCACATAAAAAGGAATTTCGTCATCAAGGAGTGAATCAAAGAAGTCCATATCTGAAACCACGTAAGAGTGG